GGCATCCAATTCAGCCCCATAGAGCACCCAAGAGGGCCCCAAGACAGCCTACGACAGGTTCAAGACGGCCCAAAACGCCAAGATAGCTTCCAAGACGGCCCGCAAGGAGCCCAAGATGGCCGTCAAGGCGCCCCACAATTGCTGCAGGACAGCCCAATGAGGACCCCAAGAGGCCCCCACAGGCCCCCCAAATGCCCCGAAGAGAACCCAGAAGGCATCCAAGAGACCTTGAAGAGGCCCACAAAAGGCTCCCATGAGTCTCCTAAGATGCGTCCGACGACGCCCCAGAGAGGCCGCCGTCAGGCGTGCTTCAATGTTCCCCGAGTAGCTGCTGCAGGTGCGTCGTCGTCGTCGAGGATCGATGCTCGAGGTGTTTTCAAACGTGTCTTAGTTCGGGAGATCCCGCATCTTCACCCCCGAAGGTCCCGCGGAGGCCTCTGGAGGCCCGAACGGGGCCAAAAGCGTTCGAACCCCCCCATCCCGAGAGCGTCCGAGAACCTCGTCCCTCGATGCTCGAGGGGAGAATTGAGCAGGGAGGAAGGGGTCCCCCCTCCGCCGAGGGCCTTCGGCGGAGCCCAGCACGGTCCGTCGTCCGCCAGCGCCTCACGACAGCGTAAGGTGGCACCAAATTGGCCCACAAGCGTCCAGAGTTGTTGGTGAAAGGTTTTAATGTGGCCCAGGACCAGGACCTCGATGTTTGCAACGCGATCGATCGACCAGGTGCGCAGTGATCAGCTAAAACTTGAGCGCGCGCGAAGCGCACGCGATGGTTCTAGCACATACATGTATATAAAGTGGCATTTGCCAGTGCCAGGTTGGCCGAGGCCTTCGTTGTTGTCGCCATGCGGTCCGATCGAAATGGGGACGGGAACATCAGGGACGAGTACCCTGCCTCAAAGCGGCCGCTGTCGGTCTTTGACAACCTGTGTTGCTGGGCATCGTCCCAAGCATGTTCCGCCCCCGTTCTGGCCGTGTACCGTCGTCGTCGTCGGAGGGATGATCTCGACGTTTTCTCTCGACAGGTTTTGGGGCTTTGGGAGGGGGCGAGGGCGGGATCATCCTGGCCACGGCTTGAAGACAGCTGGACGCGACAGCGGTCACTGAGAGATGTCGGGGACCGCTTCTAGGCCGGAGTGAATGGCACTTGCCTGGCGCCCACCAGTGTCACCATCGCAGGCCTGGATATTCGGAGGAGGGCCAATCGAGGCACGTGTGGCCTTCCCCGACATGGGCTGGGCGGGACAGCCGACGTTGTCACAACCGGCCGTCCGATTCGAGATCGCAGACCCAGACAGCGCCAGCTTCTTGTCTGCGCCCATCAGAACTTTGAGTCCGAGAGGTCTGCTCGTCGCATCCCCTCTATCCCTTCTTCTGACTGCTGGAAAGTTGTAAGACGAATGTGCGCCGTGTTGGGGCGAGAGGCGCATGTTGCAACCCACCATTCGTGTAGCTGTAAGGACGTGTTTGAACGAATGTGCGTGGCGCTCTGCTGAGAGTCCGTGCAATTGTTGGTGTCTATATGTTCAGACAAATGAGCGTGGCGCTCAGGCGAGAGCCTAGAAGTCGGCCCCCCATATACATCTGTGCAACTGCTGAAAGCGTTTACGGCGACTGTGTGCGGCGCTGAGGCGGGAGCTATATTTTGAAGATGTCCCCCTCCAACCATGTAAATTCGTGTTGCCTCTTTAATGACGAATGTGGGCGACAATTGGGCGAGAGTCACAGTTTGAAAACTACCGCCCTCCATTTGTGCGACAGCTGGGGAACCGGGGACGAGATCTCAGACGAAACGCCCAGCCCGCTCTGCAGTCACGTCTAGCAGTCTGATGATAAGTTCACGAGGAAAAGATATGGAAGAGCCCCCTCCTGCTGCGCCCTCGTCCTCATCATCCCTCCTCGTTCCCTTCTCGTTCCTCCGCCGCCCTCCTCGGTCCTCGATCCTCGTCCCCCTCCGCCGCCGATGATGACGGACTCCCGCGAGCTGACGGCGGCCGCCTCTCTGTGCGGCTCCCCAGAGATAGGCTCCTCGCGGCCGTGGGCGAGCGGGGCGACTGCTTCCTGGTGGACCCGCGGCAGCCGCAGGAGCAAGCCCAGTCCCTGTAACGGACGTAGGCGTGTAAGTCTAGCCCCGACCGCGCACGAAACACAGTCAACGCCGCGAACCCGAGACAAAGTGCTCCTGAACGCGCGGCGCGAGCCCGGCCTCAAATTATTTCGAATGCATGTTTCGCGGGCGTTTCGAACAGGGTTGCATTTCGAATGGGGTTTGTTCTTATTCGAGTTTAGAGCAGAAGGGAAGCTCGGGACTATTCGGACGTCTCCCTAAAGAGGACGAATGCTCACCATCGAATATCACCGACTTGGCCCTCAATTTCTTGCCCCGTCGAAGCCCCGCACAGACGGGGATGGAGGTCGCCAGACCCCCCGTCAGCGTGAGTGACCTTCTGATGCGGGCCCCTGCGCTGGCCTGCGCTCCTGGATTTGCATCCCCCCCCCCGCGGCCCCCGAAAGCCGTGCACCTCCTTGCCTGCGGTCATTCTGGCGTGTAGCCGATCGGAGCGAAGAGGGGAAGAGGTTTCGAGGATTCGGGAGGTACGAGGATCGAGGGAGTCTTCTTCGCAATCTGTGCAGCCCCTGGAGGCTCGCGTCGGGCCCTGGGGGCTATCGGATATCAGTGCAGGGTGAAAACTGGCAAGGTTGGCCGCCAGCAGGAAGGCTCTAACGGTGGTCAGCCAATCGCCAATCCCTTCCGATCCATCCTGGCATACCTTGGCACCAGATGTTTTGGGAGCCACGTGGAGCCGAGCCCCCATCCTCTCCCTCCGCTGACCCAGGTTTATGGAGCCTTCCATTAGGGGTTACACTATACGGCTGGCCGCTGTTCGCGACATGCCCTTGGCTGTCCAGGGCAAGCGCTGTGCCTGGTTAGTGCGGCCTGGTCATCTCGGCTCAGGGCAGGCCTACAACATTCCTCAGCATGGCCTCTAGGCGGTCCAGTAGGGCCCAAAGATGGCCCCGGAGGGCCCCAGGACGACCCTACAGCACCCGACGACACCCCGAGAAGGACCCAAGAGGACATCCAAAGAGGCCGCAGAACGGACGCGTCCGAGAAAAAGCAGCCGAACACGCACAGGTCTTCGGAGATCCAGACGGGCTTCCTGGGACGGCGCGGGACCCCCTGCTCCGCTACCCCCGTGCGGCGCTTCTTGCGACGTCTTCGGCGCGCTCCGTGCTGAGGCAAGGGGTGTGTCGAATGACAAGCACGAGCATGAACACACCTTTCTAGAGGTCGCAGTGATATCTCAGGTCGACGCTGGAGCCCTCAGGCGATGCCTCTGGTGCCGCCCCTACTGAACTCCGCGCGCCAAGGAGGGGGTCCAGCACCTATCCAAGAACTCTAGGTGGACCCTCGACAGTTTATGTTTCTGTTGGTTTCTCTTTCCTAGTGTGGGGAGGAAGGTCCAGCACCAAACTGAGAGATCCGAGCGGGCCTCCTACAGTTTATGCGTCGGTGTTCGTTTTGATTTCGTTTCGCAGCAAAGGCAGAACGAAGACAGAGCGAAGGAACACGAACAGAACACGAAACATAACCACTGTTTAGCTCGAGCCCTGTTATGCGTATGCCGTTCCAAGTGGCTTACCCTTTTCCGCCGACCACCAGAAGCAGGCAGAGCTTGCGACGATCGTGGAATTTCTCTAGTGGCCTTCGGCCCAACCCGCCACCGTGCCTGGGCTGTGGGTCAGGAGCCTCTTGTATGAATATGAGGGGCTCTTGGGATGCATCTCAGGGGCTTCTTGGAGGGCTCTCGGGTGCATTTGGGGGCTTTGGGAGGCCTCTTGGGGCTGGGGGGGCTCTTGGGGCCATCTTTGGGGGAAAGGCTCGACATATCAGCTCGTTTTCCCCCTCGCGGGGGCGTCTTGGGGCCCTCGTGGGCCGTCTTGGGGGCCCCTGGGCCGTCTCGGGGCCCTCTTAAGGGCCTCATCGGCCGTCTTGTGACGATCTTGGGAGTCCCGTGGGTAGTCCCAGAAGCTGTCAAGACGAAAAAGGCGAGTGTGCTGAAGGTGCAAGGTTTCCTTCAGGGGAAGAAGCGATGGTTGCCTCTTGGGGCCTGCTCGGCGGTCCTCTTAAACCACTGTTGGGCCGTCTTGGCGGCCTTATGGGCCGTCTTTAAGTCATCTTGGGTCGTCGTGCGGCTACTCTGGGATGTCTCGACTTTCTCTTCGACTGTCTTGGCGCTCTGTCTGGGCCCAAGTGGGGCTTTTTGGAGGCTCCAGAGGCCCCGCGGATGAGGTGGCGAGCTCGTGCCACCCCCCCTACTTAATCGGATTTCAGACCTCCCCTGGTGGGAGGGGGACAGCCACATGTCTCACACGCCGATGCACCCCCGGCAAGCGGGGGTCGGCGAATTGTGTTAGTGGTGTCTTGGAGGGGTGTCGTGGGTGCGCACCTCGGGACTCGCAGGAGTCCAGGTGTGGCGCGTGCTGTGGTTAGAGCCGTGGGCCCTACGACGCCTCTTTGGTGTACGTCGCCCTGGCGGGCCTCCCAATCGGCGTCTCCGATTCTGGGCGAAGCCGCGTTGTCGTTGTCCTCCTCGGGGTGGGTGGAGGTGGAACAGAATCAGCATGAGTGAAAGCGGTTCTGGGTTCTGGTTCTGGGTCGACCTCCTGGGGCCTTCATCGGGCGAGAGTCCTGTCAGAAAATTGTGGCTTTCCGTTGGGCAGCATCTTCTTGGAATCCCGAATCAATCAGGGATTAGACGCAGGTTGTGGGGGCAGCCTGGGGGCCCGGAACCAGTTTCCTTGCGCTTCTTGGTCCTCAAGACGGTGTTGTTTTGAAGTGTTCGGTCCCTTTCCTGCCTTGGCCTCAGGGACCGTCACAACACGATCGGGGACAGAACAGTTGCACCGGGGAAGGGGTCGAGTATTCAAAGGGGGGGGGCGCATGGGAAATGTCGGCACATCGTATGTTTGGCTTCCCGCTTCTGCTTTCCTTCTTCCGCAGCGATTTAGGCTCAATCGTGTTTTTGCGCGGCGATTCCTCCAGTAGGCTGCAGAAACATCGGATGGCGCCAGCTACCAGACATGCCCATAGGATCAGGCATAAATAGCCCCCGAGCGTTCCAGAACGCTCACGGAGCGTTTCGATTCGGGAGCGCTTCGGGATCGTCGCGGCGCCCAGTACACCCTTCAGACCTGCCAGTTCTCAAATATTCCCGATATATACAAATTTGGGCAGCCTGCCTTCGTCTTCAACTATTGCGCCGTCAAGGATACCTGTCGGGCCAGTCCAGAGCCCCGGATGGGCCTGCTTCGGATTGGCGCTGGAGCCAGAAGAGGAGGGAGTCGACGAGGAGATGGAGGGGCAGTAGGAGGAGGTGGAGGAGGAGGAGGAGGATGAAGAAGATGGAGCAGAAGGGAGGAGGGGAAGGGGAAGAGTGGAGGGGGCAGGAGCGAGGAGGAGGAGAATACTCAAAACAAACCCAATATGTATCAACGATGCTGCAACACACCCTCACTTCCCATGTTCCCTCCTTTCAGGTCCCCGCTCGCCTTCTCTTTCACTTCAAAAAACGCCCCCTCGAAAGTCGCGCGCCCTATTGGCTTGCCATTCGGGCGAACGTCTCGCTTGGGGAAGGAATTATTAGCATCCTCCTCTAGCGAACTAGAAGGAGTGTAAGGTAAGATCAGAAAGTTCAACCAGTCTTGCGAGAGTGACGTGTTTTATTCAAATCAGCCCCATTCCGTGTAACTGTTAGGCGAGTTTTCAGTTCTGGTCTTGTACAATTGAGAAGGTCACATGGGAGAGTTCCATGTTAAAAAGGAGCCGCCCCACATCCGCGCAGAAGTTGCACGTGTTCAAGCTTCTGGTTGTTAAACATTGAAGACATTCCAGGCACAAGGTGAAGGATGTGAAGCAGTGTGCGAGGGATGAGGATGAGGAGGAGGGGGAGGAGGAGGAGGAGGGAGCGAGGCGGAGGAACAGGAGGGGGAGGAAGTGGAGGAGGGGGAGACGGTGCACAGCTGGCACCCTTCCAGAAGGAGAGGTCCACCGCCGCCCGCGCCGCCATGCCCGCCGCACTCCTCGTCGAGACCGAGCTCGAGGGCCTCGAGGGTGTGAAGCTCCTGTCGCCGGCGAGGAACCCATCCGGTCTTTTTTTCCTTCAGATCACCGAGTGCTCAGGGCAAGGCGTGCGCGGTCAGGGATGTTAAGAACTACTGGTTCGCGCCTTTCGTTTTCGTATCAGGTTTTCTCAGATGGCAGTTTCTCCACTCTCCCCAGATCAGCTTTTCCCGAGTGCACAGGCTGTCCAGCCTCCTCCTGGCACAGGAGCTGCCCCAGATCATCGGTTATATCGTTTTCCCGCACCACGCCAGGGGGCTTTGCCCGGCCCAGGCATGTTCTCGATCATTCGGTTGACCGACCCCGTTCTTCCTCGTTGGCTCGGGGCGCGCGCAAGGGGGGTCTGCGCCAGCTGGGGTCAGCTAGCTCTCGCTGGTCTCCCGCTTGTGCGGGCCCTAAGGGGTCCCTCCAGCGTCAAGCCTCGCACCAAAGGCCTCTCTTGCCTAGGGTCACTCTTGCGTGTAGCCTGCGCGGCGAAGAGGAGAGAAGCTTCGAGGCTCGAGGAGGTTCGAGGATCGAGGGTGTCTTCAACGCAAATCGTGTCAGCCATTGGAGGCCCGCTTCGGGCCCCTGGGGCCGTTGGAGACCGATGCGGGGTGAAAACCTGGACAGGATAGACCCTGGGAAGTTTCGGGAGGGCATCGCCAACGGGGGCCAGCAGATTCGGTCTGATGCACACTGGCTGACCCTGGTTTGGGGGGCCATGTGGAGCCCACATCCCTTATGGCCCTCCGCTGGCCTTGGTTTGGGAGTTACTGTGAGGCCAGCCCTGGTTCGCGACATGGCCTTGGCTAACCCGGGTTGACCCGTTCTCGATATTCGAGGCGCGAGTCGTTCGGACACGTGCATTTCGTGTTTTGACCGGTGATCTGTATCATTATATTGCGGTTACCGGTTACGATGAAACTTCTTGTGGGACCACAAGCGTGTCAGGGGTGTGCCGACATGAACGCGGGGACGCATGCGGGCCCTTTCATTGGGCCATTCAGTGGGCCTCCTTGTGGGGCCACCAAACGTGTGAGGAGTGCTGAAAGTGGTGGAGGAACCGCATGCAAAACCTTATTCTGGGGGCGTCGGTGGAGCTCCATGCGGGGCCGCGAAACGTGTAATGGGGTGTGCCGAAATCGGTGGAGAGTAGCATGCGAAACCTGTCTCCATAGCGCTTCGGTGGAGCTCCTTGTGAGGCTACGAAATGTGCGAGGGGTGTGCCGACATGGATGGAGAACCGCGCGCGAAACCTTCCTGCTGGGCGCTTCGGTGGAGCTCCGTGTGGGGCCACGAAACGTGTGCAAGGTCTGTTCGGTCGGTGCGGTTGCGTCCCAGTCGATCGCGTTCGGATGGTTCGGTTCGGTCAGTTATTGTGCCCTTGCCGCGTCGCTGCGCCCTTCTAGGCTGCTTTCGGCCTGTCGATTTCGGTCGGTTTCGGTTTTGCTGTCGGTTCGGTGTCGCCGTGCACGGCCTTGGTGTGATGGGCGTGTCGAATTGGGTGGAAAGGCACGAGCGAAATCTCCGTCCTGAGGGCTTCGGTAGAGCTCACTATGAGGCCACGAAGCGTCTGAGGGATGTGCCGAAATGGGTGGGGAACCGCATGCGAAACCCACCTCCTGGGCGCTTCGTTGGAGCTCCCCGTTTGGCCACGAAACGTGTGATGGTGTGTAGCTTAATCGGTGGAGGATCACACGCGGCCCCACTCAGGGCGCCTCGGTGGAGCTCCTTGTGTGGCCACGAAACGTGTGATGGGGTGCTGGCGAAACTGGTGGAACACCGCATGCGACTCCCCCCCTCCTGAGGGCTTTGGTGGAGCTCCCTATGGGGCCACGACGCGTGTGAGGGGCGTACCGGAATGCAGAGGCATGGATGGGGAGGATGGAGGTGTGTGTGTGTGTGCGTGTGTGTGTGTGTATGTGTGTGTGTGCGCATGTGTGCGTGTGCGCGTGTATGTGGCGTGTGCGTGTGCGTGCCAGTGTGTGTGTGTGTGCTTGTGTGTGTTTGTGTGTGTGTGTGTGTGTGTGTGTGTGACAGGGGGCATGGGGTGTTGCGTGCTCCAATTGAATGATTTTGGGAGGCTGCCGGGATCCGAGGAGTCATACCATTATCTTGGCAACGGACCCATCCATATGCAGCCGCGAGTAACTCGCGATGCAGGTGAGACGGAGGGGGGCCACGAAACGTGTGAGATGTATGCCAGATTGGGTGCGGTGCTGCCATGCGGACGCTGCCACCGAGGCCTTCGGCAGAGCTCCCTAAGGGGTCACGAATCGTGTGTGGGGTGTTCGGAATTGGTGGGTTGCTGCCATGCGGACGTTGTCACTGGGGCCTTCAGCTGAGCTCCGTATGAGGCCACGAAACGTGTGAGGCATGTGCCGAAATAGGAGGAACACCGCATGCCCAAACTCCCTTTTTGTGTGCTTCGGTGGAGCTCCCTGGGGGGCCACGAAGAGTGAGATGGGTGTGGAGGACCACATGCAAAAGCCCTCCTTGGGACTCGGTGGAGCTCCCTGTGGGGCTACGAAACGTGTGAGGGGTGTGGATAACCACACATGCACCCACCCCCCCTGGCGGCTTCGGTGGAGCTCCCCCCGTGGGGCCACGGAACTTGCGAGGGTTCCGACGAACCGCTCAAAGCCCTCTCCTGAGGGCTTCGGTGGAGCGTCCCATGAAGCCACGCAGCGTTTGATGGGGTTGGAAATCACATGCAAAACCTTCTCCGGGGAGGTTCGGCGGTGGATCTCTCTATGGGGGCCACGGAACGTGTAAGTGGTGTGGGCGGCGGTGGAGCTTCTCCTGGGGCCACGAAACGTGTGAGGGGTGTGGAGAACCACATGCGAATCCCGCCCTGTGGGCTTCCGTGGGCATCCTTGTGGGGCCCCGAAGCGCGTGAGAGGTGTGGAGAACCACGTGCGGAAACCCCCATTCTGGGGGCTTCGGTGCAGCTCCTTGGGGGGCCACGAAGCGTGAGATGGGTGTGGAGAACCACATGCAGCACCCCCTCTTGGCGGCTTGGATGGCGCTCTTTATGGGGCTACGAAGCGAGTGATGGGTGCGGAAAACCACATGACAATTAGTGGATGACGTAATCAGTCCTTTCTAGACATGTGGCGAATCTATGTGGAACCGCTCAATGCAAACAAACATGTTGAAGGACCCGCAGTGCGCATTGCCTCTCAGAAGTACACCAAACACATGCAGGAATGGCAAGCTAGGGACGGAGACATAAGCATACGGAGGAGGGTGAAAGGGGACATACAGTTTCAGGAAAAGCAATAGCGCCGCACGCTACATTCGCGGGACAAAACAGCGCCATGCCCTCTTTAGCATGATAGCGCGTCGCGCTGGGCGAGGCAAGCGCGCGGGTTGGCATGGCGGGCCATAGGCAGCCGAGGATGGAAGGCCTTGCGGACAAAAGACAGCGCCATGCGCTACGTGGAGCAGCGGTTCCATGCGAGCTGCGATGCGACAGCGCTGAGCGCTGCGTGACGGGATAGCGCCGAGCGCTATGAGAACTCTTGCCTTTTGGATGCGAGTAGTTGCCGTCAATTGCATTTCTCGTCGGCACTTGCGCCACCGAGGCGCCGGCGAGAACTACCGCGAACTCGTTTGACACCGCAGGCAGCCCACGAAGGTGACGACAGTTATGCACTTCGCAGCCCCCTCTCCTCCAGGGAGCTGCGAGGTCTCGACGGGATCTGCGTGACTGCTGACTCCGCCGGACCCACCCTGAAGTTCACACGAAAGTGACGACAGTTGCATACTTCGCAGCCCCCTCTGCAACCGCGAGGTTTCGACTTGCTACCCATGCCACTCCACTCCGCTGGACCTCCCAAGAGTCCACGAAAGTGGCGACAGCTTCATACTTCGCAGCCCCCCAGGGAGACGCGAGGTCCCCAATGCATCCCCGCGTAAACCCAGTCCGCTGGACCTTCCAAAAGCCCACGAACATAGCGACAGTTGCACGCTTCGCAGCCTCCCATGGAGCCGCGAGGTCTCAACTGGGACTTCGTACAACTCCACTCCCCACGGCCCTGCAGGCCCCCCATTGGGCCCTACAGGGGGGCCTCATTCGCCATGCTTTTTTCCCTCCCGAGCCCTCCTGTGTTAAATTGTTGTTTTGTTGAAAAGAGCACTGTGGTCCCCACCTCTCTCCCACCTCCCTTTCCCTCCCTGCCTCCCTCCCTCCTGCTGCCGTTTACCTCGAGCTATTCCCAACCCTCCCGTGTTTGGGTTTTCGTTTTGAATTGAGCACTGAGATCTCCATTCCTTCTTCTCACAGGAGCACACGACAATTGCGACGGTTTCACATGCCGCAGCCGCCCAGGGAGCCGCGAGGTCTCAACTGGATCCCCGTGCAACTTCACTCCGCTGGACCTCCCAGGAGCCCACGAAAGTGTCGACAGTTTCATACTTCGCAGCCCCCCAGGGAGCCGTGAGGTCTCAACTGGATCCCAGTAAAATTCCAGCCCGCGCGACCTCCCACGAGCCCACGAACGTGGCGACAGTTTCACTTTTCGCAGCCCCCCAGGGAGCCATGAGGTCTCAGCTGGATCCCCGTACAACTCCAGTCCGCGCGACCCCCACGGAGCCCACGAAAGTGAAGACATTTTCACACTTCGTAGCCGCCCAGGGAGCAGCGAAGTTTCAACTGGATCCCCGTACACCTCTACCCCGCTGGATCTCCCAGGAGCCCACGAACGTGGCGACAGTTTCACACTTCGCAACTGCGCGGGGAGCCGCAAGGTCTCAACCAGATCCCCGTGCAACTCCACCCCGCTGGACCTCCCGGGAGCCTACGAAAGTGGTGCAAGGTTCACATTCCGCAGCCGCACACGGGGCCGCGAGGTCTCAATTGGATCATTGTGCAACTCCACCCCGCTGGGCTCCCCAGAGTCCACGAAATTGGCGATTGCTTCGCTTCGTAGCCCCACAGGGAGCTGCGAGGTCTCATCTGGATCCCCGTACAATCCGCGCGACCTCCCAGGAACCTACGAAACTGTCGACAGTTTCACTTTTCGCAGCCGCCCAGGGGGAGCCGCGAGGTCTTAGATTGATCCCCGTGCAACTCCGCTCCGCTAAACCTTCTCCCAGGAACCCACGAAAGTGGAGACAGGTTCACACTCCGCAGCCCAGGGAGCCGCGAGGTCTCAACTGGACCCCCCGTGCAACTCCACTCCGCTGGACCCCCAGGAACCCACGAAAGTGGCGAAAGCTTCACACCTCGCACCCCCCCAGGGAGCCGCGAGGTCTCACATGGATCCCCAGTACGACTCCACTCCGCGTGACCTCCCATGAGCCCACGGAAGTGGCGACAATGTCGCACTTCGCAGCCGCCCACGGAGCCGCGAGGTCTCAACCAGATCCCCGTGCAACTCCGCTCCGCGCCACCTCCCAGGAGCCCACGAAAGTTGACGGTAGCGATAACACACATTGAAGAGCAGTGGCACGCGAACCATGCTCGCGATAGGAGGCAGGAAGTAGGAGGCAGGAGGCAGGAGGTGGAAGAAGAAGACGATGAATAATAATAAGAATAATAATAATAAGAAGAAGAAGAACAATAATAAGAAGAAGAAGAAGAAGAAGGAGGAGCATCACCCAGTACTCTATTCAACACGAGAGCCCAACGCAGGAGGGTTGGGAGCCGCGAGCTCTCAACTGGATCCCCATACATTTTCGCTGACCTCCCAGGAGCCTACGAAAGTGTCGACAGTTTCATACTTCGTAGCCGCACAGGGAGCAGCGAAGTTTCAACTGGATCCCCGTACACCTCTACCCCGCTGGACCTCCCAGGAGCCCACGAAAGTGGCGACAGTTCCACACTTCGCAGCCCCCCAGGTTGCCGTGAGGTCTCAACTGATTCCCGTACAACTCCAGAGCCCACGAACGTGGCGACAATTTCATTTTTCCGCCCCCCCAGGGAGCCGCGAGGTCTCAATTGGATCCCCGTACAATTCCACTCCGCGCGACCTCCCAGGAACCCACAAAAGCGGCGACGTTTTCACATGTCGCAGCCCCCCCAGGAGCCGCCAGGTCTCACTCGGATCTCCGTTCATCTCTACTCCGCTGGATCTTCCAGCAACCCGCGAAAGTGGCGACAATTTCACATTTCGCATGTTCGGTCCTTTGCGGGGCGGTTCCACCCCCGGGAGCGTTCCAAGAGCATGCACGATCGCTTCCAGACGGTCTAAGAGGCTTCCAAGACGACCCCATAGCGCCCCAAGAGCGCTTGAAGACCGCTTAAGGTGGCCTCAAGACAGCCCAAGAGGCTCCCAAGAGGACCCCCACGAAGCAAACATCACCCCATTTCCTTTTCGGAAAACGTGCAATTTTAGCATCATCGCTTGTTTGGTTTCGACAGCGTCCAAGGTGGCCCACGAAGCCCCCAAGGTCGCTCCAAAACGGCCCAGGAGGCCCCCGAAGAGCGCGTTCCTTGTGCACGGCTAGAACCTAAGCGCGCGCGAAGCGCGCGCGTGGTTCTAGTGGATTTATATATGTGGTGGTTCAAGCTGTTCTTGGCCGCAGGCCCATTTCGTGCGCTGGTGCCCTCAACCCCAGCGATGCAACTTGCCACAAGGGAGAGGTGGAGGGGTCGGGGGGCGCAAAGGGGCACATCACGAAACGAACGCGCCGCCAGGTAAGATATATTTTTTCTCTGGTCGGACGCAGCGTGTTTTTAAAGCCTCTGTGCCCCAACGCGCCTTAGGCCTCCCCCTCCCTACCCCCACGACGTAACGCCCCCCCTCCCCCACGTAGTGCGCCTGGGGCACTGCCATTGTGAGTGATACTCGCAGGCACTTGTGGTGCCTGCAGGCTACTTTAATGTTCGTCGTGGTGTCCGAAGGCCTCGCAGGGCCTGCAGACGCTTCCAGAGGCCTCCAGCGATCCCCTGAGGCGTCGGGAGACCTCTGTAGACCTTCAGAGGCGGCCGTCGTCGTCGCCGTCCTTGTCGTCGTCGTCGTCGTCGTTGTCGTTGTCGTTGTCGTCGGCGTCGTCGTCGTCGTTTTCTTTGTCGATGTCGTTGCCGTCGTTGTCATCCCTGTCCTCGTCGTCGCCATCGTTGTTGCCGTCGTCGTTGTCGTCGGCGGCGTCGTCGTCGTCGTCTTTGTCGGCGTCGTCGTGGTCGTCGTTTTAGTGAGTCGGCATTGTCGTCCTCGTCCCCGTCCTCGTGCTCGTCCTCGTCCCTGTCGTACACGTGCTCGTCCTCCTCGTCCTCGTCGCGGTCGTCGTCTTCGTCGTCGTCGCCTTCGTCGCCGTCGTTGTGGCCGAGGGTGTGGAAGGGCCTCCAGACGCCTCCAGAGGTCTCTGGAGACCTCAGGCTTCCGGACAACTTCAGAGACCTCCAGAGGCGGCCGTCGTCGCCGTTCTCCTCGTCGTCGTCGTCGTCGTCGTCGTCGTCGTCGTGGTCGTCGTGGTTGTCGTGGTGGTCGTCGTCGCCGCCGCCGCCGTCGTCATCGTCGCCGTCGTCGTTGTGGTTGTCGTTGTCGTTGTCGTCTCCGTCGTCGTCGTCGTCGTCGTCGTCGTCATCCTCGTCGTCATCCTCGTCGTCGCCGTCGCCGTCGCCGTCGCCGTCGTCGTCGTCGTCGTCGTCGTCGTCGTCGTCCCCGTCGTCGTCGTCGTCGTCGTCGTCGTCGTCGTTGCCGTCGTCGTCGTCGGCGGCGGCGTCTTCGGCGGCGGCGGCGGCGTCGTGGTGGTCGTCGTTTCAGTCTCCATCGTCGTCCTCGTCACCGTTCTCGTCCTTGTCCTCGTCCCTGTCGTCCTCGTGCTCGTCCTCCTCGTCCTCGTCGCGGTCGTCGTCTTCGTCGTCGTCGTCGCCCAGGCGTCGGAGGGCCTCCAGACGCCTCCAGAGGTCTCCGGAGACCTCAGGCTTCCGGAGATCTTCAGAGACCTCCAGAGGCGGCCGTCGTCGTCGTCGGCGTCGCCGTCGTCGTCGCGGTCTTCGTCGTCGTCGTCTTCGTCTTCGTCGTCGTCGTCGTCGTCGTCGGCGGCGTCGTTGTCGTCGTCGTCGTCGTCATCCCTGTCCCCGTCCCCGTCCCCGTTCTCGTCCTCGTCCTCGTCCTCGTTGTCGAGGGCGTGGAAGGGCCTCCAGACGCCTCCAGAGGTCTCTGGAGACCTCAGGCTTCTGGAGACCTCTGGAGACCAGCAGAGGTGGCCGTCGTCGTCGTCGTCGTCGTCGTCGTCGCCGAGGGCGTGGAAGAGCCTCCAGACACCTCCAGAGGTCTCCGGAGACTTCCTCAGGCCTACTGACACCTCCAGAGATCTTCAGACGTGGCCGTCGTCGTCGTCGTCGTCGTTTGTCTTCGTCGTCCTCGTCCACATCGTCGTCCCCGTCCACGCACGTCATCATCGTCGTCGTCGGCGTCGTCGTCGTCGTGGTGCCCTCTCCGCGACGTCGTCTTTGTCGCTATCGTCGTCATCTTCGTCCAGCGCTCGGGCGCTTTCGTCTTCCAGCAAACACCAGCGCAGAATAATGCTCGAAGGAGGATGTGGGGGAAAATGCACTGTGGTGCACGATGGTGCACGTACGCGCTGCGCAGTACATCGGCTATGTGGAACACGCGGATGCGGCGGTGCATACTATGCTGCGCACTGTGGTGCTTGCTGTGATGCGCACAGGCGCTGTTGTGCGTGAACCATACTGCGAGGGGGGGGCGGGGCGTTACGTTATGCCCCCTCCCCGCTCCCCACCCCTATACCGCCCGTTATGGCCGCGAATCTAGAATCGCGCTCACGACAGGGGGCGATAGTGACAGAGGTTTTTTGAAATCTGCTGCATGCAGTGGGCTTCGGGCCGCCGCCAGGCGCTTTCCTTGATACATTAGCGCCTCTGGCTCTGGGGATGCGCGGGAGCAACCAGTCACGTGAGGCGACTCGCTAGCCTCCCGTTTGCGTTCCACCCTTTCGTCCGCCCCGATGTTCCGAGAGCATTCTGGTCCCACCAGGGCCCCCAGCCGCCTCCGAGGAACCTCCGAACTATTTTTCCTGTCCCCCTTTCCCCCCGCCCTCTCCCTCCTCCTCCCCCCTCCGGATCGTCATCCTTCTCCACCTCCTTGTGCTCCTGCTGAAATCCTGACTCCCTCTGCCGCGACAGCGCGGCCAGCATCCATGGGATCGCGCGTATACGGGATCGCGTTTCTGCATCCATACCGCGAGGACATGGATGTGGATACGGTCAGGTAATGAACAGTTTGGGTTCGGAAGAGGCTCGTTGTTCCTTGCGCCCTCTTATGGCTGTTCCTCCAGTTCTCCTCGTCCACCCAGGAGGCTCCTGTGGGGCCGTGGTAGTAGCTTGACTGGCCGTGAGGGCTGCATGTGAGATTCCCAGGGAGGAGCCCGTCGGGGATCGCCTTCGAGCTTACCGAGCAGTTCAAGAGCCCCTCGCGCGCCGACAGGCAGTGCAAGGCCCGCGCGCGCCTGGAGGGCTACCTGCGCACGCCCGCGAAGGAGAGCCGCCATCTGCCTCACCTCTGCAGAGGTCACCTCGGCGGGGCTCGAGGAGCACACACACACACACACACAGTTTGATGTTGGTCGGCCGAGGAGCCGAGGAGTTCGGCGAAGGAGTTCGTTGCACAGGCGTTCAGCGTCCCGCAGGTTGGTAATCTGGGGCGTCTACGCACCCAGCTCCAGGTCCGACCAGGCGCCTTGGAGTACACTTCGAGCCCCTCCCGGCGCCTGCACACCACTTGCATGCCTGGCCATGGCCATCCCTCCCTGATGAGTTTGCAGAAGGGTGGTTGGCCCAAATGGGGGTTGGAGAGATAATCCAACCGAAGGCTCACAAGTCCTTATCCCAGAGGCCATCCAGAGCCACTCTCTTCTAACCCGCCCTTTTGCCCTGCCCCACCTTTACGACCCCCCAGAGCGACACGTACACACATACATATATGCATGTACATCCATATATATGCGTATATATGTATAGAGTGTATGTCCATCCATGATGCATAAAATCTGAAATGTATATATATACATATATATATATATATATATATATATATATATGTATATGTATATATGTATTTACATAAATATATATATATATATATATATATGCTGCATACTTCCAGAGAGCGATGCGCCCGGGGGGGTCCATCGCCGACCCAGGAACACCGCTCGGACTTCCAAAATGAGCAAACAACCTGGGCGCTGCCATCCTGTGCCCCTGGGATTTTGTACAGACCCTCCCAGCCTCGGCCATGAGGGTGCATGCACCCTGTCAGGGTGCAGGATGGCCCTGGTTGGCAGAGGTGACATGAGTATCCCCTGCGCTTGATGCTCCTCCCCCAGGCTCCTCCTCTTCCTCGTCCTTGCCCTCTCCGTCGTCGTCGTCGTCGTCCTCCTCTGTCTGCGTCTCCTACCCCACCTCCTGCTCCCCCTAGTCCTTGTCATCGCGATCGCCCTCCCATCCTGGTCGTCGTCGTGGTCGTCGTCGCCCCCTGCTCCTATTGTCCCCCCCTGCTTCATTGTTCAAGTGGCTTACGCCATTCCGCCGACTCCCCAAGTTGGGCCTCTTGGAGGGCTCACCGAGATGCAGATCCGCGACGTCCGAGGCATCGCGGCGCTTGCGGAGAAAGGTGACGATCAAGTCTGGGACTGGCTGAAGGGCAAGCGCGTCACGATGTGGGCTCTGGAGGACCAGAACGCCTTGAACATGTGTCTGTCGTCGCTGCTTCGACGTGCTGCGCCTGGCAGTCGGCCCAATTCTCTTCGCCTTGTAGCCCCGATCGCCTCGCTGCCGGGCATGTCCACGATTGCAGGCATCACGAACTTATGGTGGCATCCATTACTGAGCGACAAATCGCTTATGGTGTCGCTTTTGAGAGGTTGCACGTTCACGACGACTCCCGTGGGGATGGTCGATTCTGGACCCAGCGGCCCTCGACTACTCCGAGCTGGCCTGGCCATTTTTACCATCCAGGTCGACGGCCCTCGATCATCACCTCGGCTCCTCAATCCTCAAGCTCCTTTGCTTCAACTTCGAGCAGCACTGACAGCCACGATCGATATCCAGGGGACGGACCTCCCGATGTTGATGGCCCTCCTCCAGGGCCCGTCGCTCCAGGACGTCATCTCGCGACACTCCCGGCGAAGCGTCCTTAGCACGCCAGAAATTCTTCGGGCTTGCGTGGACCTCCTCCTCCCAGACTCCTACACCGACTTGTACATACAATTGCTTCTGCGTCAGCTTCAACGCAGTGGGCTTCCAGGAGACGCATATTGGTGCAGGCACTCGATCTACGAGGCGGGCGATGCCATGATACTGGAAGCTTCCACCCCGAACAACTTGCGTAGGTACTGGGCTCTCTGCACGCAGATGGTAGCGATCAGGAGCAGTAAGCAGAGCACAAAACTCTTGGTCACGACCGACGTCGAGGCCGATGTGTGGAGAGCCACCATGGACGAGGTGATGCGCGAGGACGCCGGGGAGACATCCGTGCGGCTCAAGTGGAAGGCCTCCCGGAATGGCGGCCGCACAATCGCCACTGCTACTGCCACGACCGCGGCTCTGGCAGCCTCCCACCGACAGGGCGCCAGAAAAACTTCCAGCATGGACTACCTGACGTACGTGTTGGTCAAGGGAGAAGGCGGCAGGGAGGACGGCACTGTTATGGCGCTGCTCATGATTACACCGGGGACCCAAAGCACGGAGAGTACGTCCACCTGGCCATCAAGGACGCCCATGCCCCGCCTGGGAGGCTGCGACTGATTTTAGCTAGTGGGGAGGAGGTGCGGAAAGTATATGGTCGGTCACTATCTCATCGGCATCGAGGTGGTTCACGATGGGATATCGAGCCAGGGTTTGCCGGGAAACGGCCTCAGGAGGCGGGACTAGGTGCCGCCCGCCTCCCCACGAACATCGGGCACATGCATGAGGGAATTCATTTTTGGACGGACGAGGGCATGGACGGTTGGATCCTCTTCGTCACCATGCGTCCACGTCCTTCTACGGAGGGGCCGCGTCGACTTGGCCACGCTGGTTTTCATCCTTGTGGTAGTCATGTATCTTCGGATTCGTTATCCTTCTCATCCCCTTCGGGCGCAACGGCTTCATCTACTTCGGCTTCTTGGGGTCGTCTTCTGCCACGGCTGCCGATCTTTTTCTTCGGAGATCCTTTAAGTGATGTTCCACTTAGCCTTTATCGCAGGCAGCGCCTTTTGCGTGCTCTTGGAGAATTGCCCCCTGATCTATTGCCTCCACCATCTCGGTCGGTACCGCGTGCTCCGGCAGCGGCGGATTCGCGCAGACACGGGCAAGATCGAGGCGATCTTCGCTGCATCACCTGCAACGCCCAGGCTTGCTTTTCGACGAACGACAGTCGTCGGGAGGCCAAGCACCGCTATGTCAACTCCTTGATGGGGCGGTGCGACGCACTATTTGTTACGGAAGCTCACGGTACCACAGGGGTACAGAAAGCGTGGCGACCACCGTTAGGGTGCTCAGCTTGGTGGTCTGCCGGCCTCACCACCGGGCATGCCGGCATCGGCATTATCATCAAGAGCTCCTGCCTAGCGAACTTCAAAGAGGAGCCCCCGTGGACAATCATCTGGCTAGGGCCCTCCTGGAAACTTGCACTTCGCGGGCGCCAGGGGGCTTTGGACCGTACCGTGGTTTATTTCCACACCGGGTCCACGCCTGCCGAGTTGGACCTCTACGGCGTGCACCCTTCACACCGGGACAGATGCACGTATTTTCCGGCACTCCGTGATCATCTTCGGCAGCGTGTTGGATCAGCGACGTCTCGCCTTGACGCTGCATTTACCACTATTGGAGGTGATTTCAGTTGGATACCGGCCGCTCCAAATAGGCGCGCGCTGACCACGGCAACGGCCACAGGGCAGCGAGACCATAGGGAGGAAATCATTCCGATCCGTCTTGGCTCAGCCTTTCCAGCTCCACGAGATGCACCAGCGGGGCATGACGCACGCCAGTGCTACAGCGCGGTCGCGGCTGGACCGGTTCTACTGCAACCAGCGCGTGCGCGGACAGCTCGACCGGGAACTTACGGCCGTTGCTTTGGAGTGGGAGCCTGAATTCTCCTGTCATCGAGCAGTCCTCTTTTCTCGGCGAGTTCCGCAGAGACAGATGACGGCCTCGCGGACGGGGCCATCAACCACGTGGACTTCAAGCGCAGGGTGGCTCTGGACTAAAACGAGAAGCGCCGGGCTGAGCCAGGGGCGACGGGACTGAGGTCACTCATGCTGCTCCAAATATCCATGCAGGAGGTTGGCGGCCGCCTTCGCCGCGAGCCGGCCGCGCGCCATGCCGCCGCTGAGTTGGAGGGCCGGCTCGGCGTCGCGATGCAGTACGCACGGGCTGCAGAGAATGGAGCCATGGGGGAGATCTCTCCCCGTCTCGAACGCTGCCCAGCTTTCCGGGACTTCGTGGACAAGCCGCGCGCGGAGACTTGTGCATTAGCGGGGTGTCCGCGGCCACGCTGTCGACCTTGCCCGCGAGCACGCTCTGGCAGAATTGGGGAAGGTCAAGGTGGCGCAGAAGCAGGGCGACCACGAACGCGCCGACAGAGCGAAGCGCAAATACTCTCAACAGACTCTACCGGCTGATGCCGGGCCGCAGTGGCGCGGCGCGCGCGGCGCGAGCGAGAGACGGCCACCGTGCGACGGAGCTTGGCGAGATGGCCGGCGTGCTTCGGGATCATTGGAAAAGGCGTTTTCAAGGCCCGAGGCGTGAACGGAGCGCGTTTGCAAGACTGGCTTGAAGAGGACAGAGATACTCGAGAGCAGCAGGGGCCTTCTCATCGCGTACTGGGCCAGCTCAGCTTTACCAAGAAACGCGTCAATAAGGCCATCAGGCTGTCGAACGACTCCCCCCCTGGGCCTGACGGAGTCTCTTGCGCCGCCTGGCGACGGCATGGGGGTCTAGCCACGGCCGTGCTACAATGCGCCTTGGTGGAGCTCAGTTGCGATGATACTGAGGTCTTGAAGAGAGGAATACCCGGAGTTCAACGAGAGCGCGCTGATTTTCTCGCCGAAGAAAGCTGTCGGCCACGCAGAGGGCGGGGGGGCATTATTCGACCCGGGAGGGGTTCGGCCACTGAAGATCACCAGCGCGGACAACCGCCTATTGGCTAGCGCCTGCCGCCTGGCTCTGGAGCCATTACTGAGCCCTCTGATCGCGGATGACCAAAAGGGGGTCCTCACAGGCAGATCGACGCAAGCTAATCTGATCGACGTGGACGAGGTCATGTTGCAGCGGGCAGTCGACGAGAATGGCGCGCATGCGATCGTCTTCGGTGTCGCTGCGGCGTTCCCGTCGATCGAGCACGACTTGTTCCGCGCATTCTGCAGTGGGTTCCGTTGGCCGCGGCGGCTCCAGAACTCCATCCTCAGCCTTTACCGCGACAACTACTGCGTCATCAACCTCGGCGGCTCCAGGCACAGGGGTTTCGATATTTCGAGGGGAATCAGACAGGTGTGCCCTCTGTCACTTCTGCTGTTCGCGGCGACCTCGGATCTCTTCTTGCGCGGGCTCGCCCCGGCCTTCCCGTCGGCGCTGCCGCGGGCTCGGGCAGATGATTCAGCAATGGTCCTCCCGCGAGGGGCGGCCTGCACGCCTGGCGCTACAAGCATTGCATCCACGTTGCTGTTCGTCGGGCAACTCGACGACCTTCCGCCGGATTTCAACGCGGAGGAGGCGCGGGCCTGCCAGGCTTTGTTCCCAGGGCCGAGGTGTTGGATCACGCCCGAGCGCTCGAAGGAACTGTGCGCGCTGCGCTTCCCCGACGAGCTGCTCGACGTAGCGGCGGCCGTGCAGGCAGCCAAGGCAAGAGTCGTCAAGTGGGAATCGCCCGGCAGGCTGCGCATCCACGCTCGGGCAAGAGCGATGCAGGAGCTCTCCTGCGCATCCAACGAAGCGCCCCTGGCCCGCCTTGGATGGTTCTGCGCCTGGCGTGAGCGGTGTTTCCTCTAGCAGTTGACCCAGGCCGACAGACGCGCGGTGGGAGGACAGAGCTGGCCGACAGAGAAGAGCCGCTGAATTTTTGCGCGGGGAGCAGAGGCTGGGGGCACAGCTGCGCTTGCGCAGGAGGCTGGCGCGACGGCAGGTCGGGGTTGCGCCGGGGCGCCGCGCGGGCAGGGCGACGCAGGTCCTCTCGGCGATCTCGGCGGCGTGCCAGCCGCGAGACGCTTCGGCCTGTCTGCGTCTGCTGCGCGACGGATGGTGCACGAAGGCTCGCTTCCAGGGGCGATGGGCCTGCAGATTGGGCTGCGGTGCTCCAGTAGACAGTAGACAGCGTCGAGCATTTGGCTCAGTGCCCGGTGGCCCGGCAGTTATTGTGGTATCATTATCGGATTCCGCCTGCGTCGACCGGCAGGGCGTTGAATGTCTTTTTGTTCGTGGGCGGGGGCGCCGAGCCTCAAAAGGACCAGGGCGCCGTCCGCAGACGAGCCATTGCAACACATGTTCTTTATCGATGCTACAACGGCTCGAGAACGGGTCGTCTGACGCCAGGGCATTTGCCAGGCGCCTACACGGAGTTCCAGTGCGAGGACAACCGCGGCAGACGCGAGCCGTGACACGAGAGCCGTGTCTTAATTTTGCCGCCCGCGCTCATAGTTTGTATATTATTTGTTTAGTCCTCGTTCCTCTTCTTCCTCTTACGTAGTTATATGTATAGCCGCACGTGGTTGTGGTCTGGCGCATGTTTGGTGCTGTTTTGTTCTGCTCCATCCGCCGCCTCGCCCCCCTTTCCCCTCCCTCCCCTTCCCCCTCCCTCCTGTCGTCGTCTGCTGGTCGGTCGGTCGCGTCTCGCCCCTCCTCCCTCCTCCTCCTTCCCCTTTCATCGGACGCCCCGCGTGGAACGCGGCGGGCGCGCGTTGAGCGCGGGTGCCTGCTTCATGGTCGAGTCTTGGCCGCCCTTCCCGCTCGTCTCGCCCCTCTCTCGCTCCCTGTCGTTGTCGTCCGGCTGCTGCTGCTCTGCTCCCTCTTCCCTCCCCCCCTTCTCCCTCTCCCTCTTCCCGGCGGCTTGGAGTGGGTGCTTCTTCGCGCCAAGGCGTCACGCGGCCGTGCCTGCCGCAGCACGCCTGTCGAGGGCGATGGTTGATGATTCGCAGCCCCTCCTCGCTCCCTCCTCCCCCTTTCCCCCCCTTTTTCCGCCCCGTCTCCTTGGGTCGCGTCACGGTGCACGCGTCATTGGATCGTGCACCGTGTTGTGAATTGGCGCCCGCGCTGGTTGCATGCGCGGGGAGGCCACAGCCGGGCCGCCTGGACTCACTGGCCGCCGTCTCGCAGAGGGGTCGCCCCCAGCCCGCGCTTGGCGGTTTGTTTTCCCCCTCTCGCCCCCTCCCCCCCTCCTCCTCCTCCTCCTCCTCCTCCTCCTTCTCCTCCTCCTTCTCCTCCTCTCCTTTTTGGTCAGGTGTTGAAGTTTACGTGTCATTCACGGAGCTTGGGCTCAGATCTTTGATCGTGTATTTCCGCCAGCAGCCACAGATCTTGGATGCGTGCATCGGTTCGCCTATGGCAGGTTGGCCGGAGCGTTGCTCCTAGTGTTTTGATGTTCTCCCGCTCCCCTCGTCCCTCCTCTTCTTCCCCTCGTTCGTTCTCCTCCTCCTTCCCCTCGCCCTCCCCCTCCATCGCGGCTGCTTACTTCGAGCTGGACTGGGGTGTGTTTGGCGCGCAACCTAATACTCACCAGCTTGTCTGCTCCTCCCCGAGTCCGGGGCTTTGCAGGTTTTTGCTTTCAGCGCCTTGCTGTCGTCACTGGTCGGTGGAGTTGTGGTGACGTCTACCAGGCCGGCGGCTGTAGGTCAGGGTCGCTATAGAGGTCAACACCATGTCCAAGGGTGGAAAAAAACCCTTGGGGCCTTTCGGTTGTTTTTGGGAGCGCCTTGGGGGCCACCGGGGTACGATTTGGGCCATCTTGAGGGGAAAGGATTTGAATCTCAATTCGTCTTCCCCTTTTGAACCCCTCTTGGGGCCGTTTTGGCTCTCCTGTCGGCCGTCTTCGGGGCCCCTGGGGCCGTCTTGTGGTCCTTTTGGGCCGTCCTGGGGTCCTCTTGGGGGCCTCTTAGGAGCTCTGTGGGCCGTCTTGGGGCGATATTTGGGGCCTGTTGGTCGTTTTGGACGATGTCAAGACGGAAAAAAGGTGTGTATGTAGAACCCGTGTATGTCTTGAGGGATTGGTACGGTGTTTGCCTCTTGAGGTCCTTTCGGCCGTCCTCGTGAAGCTCTCTTGGGGCGTCTCGGGAATTCTTTGCCCCGGCTTGGAGCTATCTAGCTATCTAGGGTGATTTTGAAGTCTCTACGGTCGGTGTGGGAGCCCAGCTTGCGCAAGCTTAGACGGAATGTTTGGCATTTGGGGGGCCACGGGCTCTAGGTTTGGAGGTTTCGGAAACCCCGGCGGTCATTGAGGAGCTCGGCCCCGCCCATCCCTCAAACGCGATTTGGGACCCCTTGGGAGGGGAAGGGGGATTGGGACATTCTCCCCCTAGAATCCCTGAAGCCCCTCCGCAGCCCGCTGGGGCCCGAGCTCCGTAGGGCCCCGAAAATCTCCCGACAGCCTCCATCTTCCTTCTCGCCCCTTGGTGGGAGAGAAGGAGGGAGGAGCAGGGTAGATGGGGGAAGCATGAGGGAGGAGGCGAAAAGGAGGGCGGAGCGGAGAGGTGAGGAGGGAGGGAGGGAGGATGCGGGTAGAGGTGGAACAAGGAGGAGGCGGGAGGAGGGACGAGGGAGGAGGTTGGACGAGGGAGGAGGCAGGAGGCTGGAGGAGGAGGAGGAGGAGGAGGAGGAGGAGGAGGAGGAGGCGGAGGAGGAGGAGGAGGACTTGGAGGAGGAGGAGTTGGAGGAGGAGGAGGAGGAGGAGGAGAAGGAAACGGAGGAGGAGGAGGAGGAGGAGGAGGAGCAGGGGGCCATATTTCGACCCCGCATGGGAGTGCCCAGGGACGTCGTGGAGCCCACCCCCACAGAACTCCGCTGGTCGGAGGATCGTTCTTCAGGGGTCACAGGACAATCTGGCAACGGACGGCCCCTCTTCGGAGACCTCGCCAGGACGGCCTGTCGCCGGACGGCTTCTGGGACCCGGGAGGCCCCAGGCGCTCGAGACGTCCTGGGTTGAACGATCGGGGCCCCAGCTCACACCGAGTCACCTCCGATTCGCCAGTCAGAGTGCCCACCCTGCCGTTTCAGGACCTGTTCGACCGTCGTCGTCGTCGCCGCCGCCGTTGTCGTCGTCGTTCGCGTCGTCGTCGGCGTCGTTTCATCAAATCCGCACCGTGCAGGTCCGTAGGACACCTCCCGGGGCCCGTCATGACCGGTTTTTCGAGCTGCGCCTTGCCGTGGCGACGAGGGCCTCCAGAACCAGAAATGCTCAAAGATTTCGACACGAAGATGTCGTCGCCCGCGTCAGGAGAGCCGCCCTATCAGCCCAACGGAGAGCCCGCTGCCCAGCCTCCTCAGCAGGGGCCGGGCGGCCAAGTTGCAGATTGAGAACGAGGCCTCGGGGACTCCCTCTATCGGTGCTCGATGATCGAGGTGAGGGCCGACATTCTATGATCTCCCAGCCATGTCGCAGCGTCCTCGGCGTCCACTTTACACGTTCTCGGAGATTTCTCGGCGCCCTCGTCGACACGTCGGGGTCCGCCGCGAAATTCTTGTCGGAACGCGCCCTTGGGGAGCTCATGGGGACGATTTTTGAGGGGAGGAGGAGGAGGAGGAGGAGGAGGAGGAGGAGGAGAAGGAGGGCCGTATCCATTTAGGCTCAAGATGGTCAGGATATCTGTGAGTCGGACGACCCATATGGCCCATTCAAAGAGGAAGAGCAGGCGGAGGTAGAGAGAGAAGTCGAGAAAAGGAAGGCGATCGAAGAAGCAGAGAAGTGGAGTGGGAAGGCCTTCGTGGAGGGATTGCAGCAGCAGGAGGAGCAGTCCTGGCGAGAGAACGCGTTTTACCATGCGGCCATCGGTCAGGACAGCGACGAACGTCCCGCGGACGAAGGCGACGATCATGATAATGAGCCGAAGGAACTGCGTTGGAAGGGGCTGCTGTCTGATGAAAACAATTTCGCTTATCGAGAGAAGTGGCCGTGGTGGGTTTCCAACAGCCGTGTTTTCCGCGAGAAGGACGACGGCACCACCGTGAAACAGGCACGCTCCAAACAGCGCAGGGGAAGACGGAATAACAAACGAGCGAGAGATCCCACTACCCAAGAAAAGGCGGATCAGGACGAATTCAAATAATGGCAGCGGGAAGCGCAGCAATAATACTAACAAGAAGAAGACGAATCATATGCACGTCATAAAGCCCAACAAGAAAGAAACAACGGAACACGCGGCCCATATAGCCGCAGGACGAGGTGCGACATCAGCGCTCTACGGCGTCGCCGCGGCCAGGGGCAGCTAGACCGAGGCCTTCCAGACGGGCGAGGTCCTTGGCGCTACCTTGGGCGTCGGCAGCCCATTGCCTCTCGATGACTGCAGGAGCGTGCGAAGGCTCGCTGGCCCAAGACTCCGGACTCCCCAGTGGCGCAAGTGCGTCGGCGACATGCTTGAGATGGCTTTCGGCGCCTACATCAGCGAATGCTTGAGGCGGCGCGGACGGCACCGCCCCGTGCAATGGCTTCGCCGCGCTGGGTGGTGGCGCAAACAAAACGCGTCCTGGGGGCGAGGGGTGGAGGTAGAGGAGCCTGGACTGCAAAAGTTTCGTGTCTCGCGGGGGGCGGAGCCTGGGGGCTGCAAGCCGTTTCTCCCTGCCTTCCCTTCTTCCCCCTTCCCAGAATGCTCGGGGCTGCCTTCCGTCCTCCTCCGCTGGCTCAAGCGCTTGCCGGATTCAAGGCGCGCCGCGCGCCAGCAGCCCGCGACCCAGGGCCGCGCTCGGGCGTGAATTCGATGACGACTCGGCAAACTGTGGACATCGTCGTGGACGAGCGGGGCGGCCGCGACGTTCCCCCGCGGCCGGGGCCCTTCTCAACTCATTGGGGCCGTGCGCGGAGACGCTTTTCAGGGCGCGGGCCCTCGAAGCCAGGCGCGCTCGCACCTTTAGACAGGAGCGGGCGGTGTTGCCGCGGGAACCATGGCCACGCAACCGACGCTGGACGCACGCCAGCTGCGTCTACTCGCAACTTGCCGAGGAAGGCCCTTTTCCAGAGGCACCTCCAAAAGCTCCGCGGGTTGCTGCGCCCGGTCCTGGGCGCGCCCGCATTCGGCGACGCCGTTCGCATCGTGGCCAGAGGTCCGATGCTCACGGGTAAGAGGCAGATCGGGGAGTTCAGCTACAGAGGCGCTGTCTTGGGGAGCACGCGCGGCGGCGTCCATATGTACGCAGACACGAGCAACCTTGTTTGCATTTTTTCTGGTACGTTTTGGGATGCTCGGCGTCGGGCACGGCGAAAGCAGCCCCCTCTCGCCGGGGATCTTGGCAGCACGACCTTCGGTGTCCACATTCTCTCGCTTTTCGATGGTTGCAGAGCCGCGTGATTGCCCGCTGGCCCGAGACTTCAGCCTCTCTTCAGTGGTGCGGGTGCGTCGGCGACGTGCTGGGAATGGCTTCCGGCGCAGTCTACACTGGCGAATCAGAGTTGCCTACGTGTCGCAATAGACTGCGGAGGGAAGGTCGCTATTGGCCAATCGTCGCGCCGCCCATTCCAGCGATCATATAGCTCGCCGAGATCATCGAGGCTATTGACGACAGTGGCGCGTTCGACCCGCCCCGCAGACAAACGTATGAGTCTCACGGTTGCGAGTGCAAGTGCGCTTCCAAGATTGTCGCGGCCCTGCACAGCGCGATGCACGCGCGCCATTTCGAGAGCACGCTTAGTGGCAAGGCTACGCGCGGCCAGGAGAGATAATCAATGAACTATATCAGGCTTAATGGGAAGTTCATCTTCCGCGGAATGAGCCGACCCGTTCGACGAGGAGTCGGAAAAAGGCCGACGGATCGTCGAGGCTTGGACTCGATTGCAAAGGCGTGGGCTGGGCTGAAACCGGCGAGGTTGAAGAGACCTTGCGACGCAGTCGCCTTCGGTGCGGGCTCCTTGGGATCGCCGCTCCGATCGCTGAGCACGGCGCGCTAGCAGCGGCCTGCGCGCTCAAGTTTGGCCCCCACCGCGCCCCGCAAGCCGCGCACCGAAGGCCGCTCGCGCCTTAGAGCGAAGGTCGGTGCGCGAATTCATCTTGCAGGAGAAAGCCGGCCCGTGCAAAGATCCTCGGGAAGGCCGGCTCCGCGCCGCGGAATCAGTTGGGTTCAGGATTTCTGGGGGGGTGGGGGGGCGAGGCTCGCGCGGGGCCTGCCTCCCCGCGCCCCGTGCGCCCGGGCGGGGCGCCCGCGCGCTCGCGCGGAAAATGGCGGCGACGACGACGGCGACGGCAACGTCTTTGATGGGCTGCGAAGCCCCCCCCCTGGGCTGCGACCCCCCCCTTCCGACGACGAGGGCCAGGG